AGTGCTGTATTAAGGAGTTTCTACGCCTGCCACTGGGCATTGTCAAAGGCTTTGTTAAGTTCTGTTGCTCAGTTTTCCTAACAGTTCTACTAAAAGGTGATGTGTACTCCCAAGTTACAGATATAAAAATGGAGGCTTAAAAAAGGTAAGTAACCAGCCTGGGGATGCACAGCCAGTGAGTATTGTGTGTAGCTCCAAAATGCTTTCCCTGTAGGAGGGAAGGAACATGGGGCTATAGGCAGTACAGGATGGGGGAGTGTGTAGTAAGAGGAAGAACAGGAAAATGGCGTCAGAAAGGATGGCTCCTGGGGGTGATGCTGGATGAGGTGGCAAAGAAAGATCTCTGAGGTGGCTTCAGTTTAGTAGGAGAGAACAGTTTTTGTTTTGAATTTTTATTTATGGATGTGTGTGTGTCTGTGTGAGTGTATGCCACATGTATGCAGGTGCCTGTGGAGGCCAGAAGAGGGCGTCAGAGCCCCTGAAACTGTAGTTATTGGTAGTTGTGAGATGCCCCATGAGGAAACCAGGAACTGAACTCTGATCCTCTGGCAGAGCAAGAAGCATGCTTAACCACTGAGCCATCTCTCCAGTCCAGAGAATAGTTTCCTGTGGGGAGTTGTGATCAGAAGCCAGATTTCAAAGTGCTTGCTGTGGAGTGCTGCTACACAGGTTCCAAGATCAGGCAACCATTCTTTCCTGAGAGAAACAAGGCCAAAGAAGGACTCTGAGAATGGGGGTGAGGAGGGAGGAGCCTGGCAGAGCAGAAGTGGACAGTGTGCACTCCCAGGATGCGGGTACTGTATCCAGAGCATGGAGGGGCCCCTCTCAGGAAAGAGAGACCCTCTTTTAAAATATTTTTTGTTTAGCTTATTTTATGTGTATAAGTATTTTTCCTGCATGGAAGTGCACCATATGCATGCAATGCTCACAGAGGCCAGAAGAAGGCATCAGATCCCCTGGAACTGGAGTTACAGATGGTTGTTAGCTGTCACGTTGGTGCCAGGAACCAAACCTGGGTCCTTTGCAAGAGCAGTAGCTAAGCCATATCTCCAGCTCCAAGGAACCTAAATCTTTTAAGAATAGAAGGGAGTAAAGGTGGGTACATCTAGAGAGAAATTCTTAGGCTTCATACTCTCTATTGTGATGAGCATGTATACATTTTCTAGAGCTCCAATAAAGAGTGGACAGAAACTAGGGGTTTTGAACAATAAGAACTTACTGCTTCACAGTTCTTGAGGCCATAAATCCACAACAAGGAGTTGGCAAGTTGGTTCCTTCTGGAGGCCACGAGGGAGAATGTGTTGTCAGCCCTTGATCCTGACTGCCTTGTGATTGCCACAGCAATCTTTCCCCAACTTGTACATGTGTTACTCCAGTCTCTGCTCCCCACTCATATGTTATCTGCCCCGTGGATGTCTGAGTCCCAATTTCCCTTTTTGTGTGTGGTATGTAAGTGTACTGTGTTTATGTGTGAGGGTACAGGCATGCCACAGTGTATGTGTGGTCAGAGGACAACCTCCAAATTTCACCTTGTTTGTTGCTGCATTGTATACGCCAGGTTAGCTGTTCACTGAGCTTCTGGGGGATTCTTCTACCTCTGTCTCCCATAGGAATGGTCTTGAGATTGTAGACATGTGCCACTGGGTCTGGATTTTTACATGGGTTCTGGGGATCTGAACTCAGGTTGTCAGGCTTGTGCAGTAAGTGTTTTTACCTTCTGAAATTGGACCCTCCCAATCCCAATTTCCCTCCTCTTAAAATTTTTTATTTATTTGTGTGCGAGAGAAGTAGAGACAGATTTTCTCTCTCGCGTGCACTCTTTCTCTGTATGTATGTGTGTTGTGGCATTTGTGTGCCACAGTGCATGCGTAGAGGATAGAGAGTAATTTTCAAGAATTGGTTTTCTCCTTCCATCATGTGAGTACCAGGGATCAAACTCAGGTCATCAGGTTTGGCAGCAAGTGCCTTTGCCCACTGAGCCACCTCACCAACACCCCCTCTTTCTTTTTAAAATATTTTATTATTTTTATTTTATATGTATGAGTGTATTGCCTGCATGTGTGTAAGTGCACCCATGTCATGCAATGCCCACGGAGGTCAGAAGAAGGTGTCAGATCCCCTGGAACTGGAGTTATGGACAGTTGTTAGCTGCTATATGAGTGCTGGGAATCGAACCTGGGCCTTCTGGAAGAAGAGCCAGTGTTCTTAACTGTTGAGCCATCTTTCTAGCCCCCCCTTCTTATAAGCATATCAGTTATTGGATTAGAGCCCATTTTAATATAGTATGACCTCATTTTAACTCAATTGTGCCTGCAAATACTCCATTTCTATGGAGAGAAAAAGCTACAGAAATGGAAGTTCATACCAAGGTGATTGGTTAAAGGAATCCTAAACTCAAATATGTTTACTATCTCATTTAGAATTTATGTTTTGCATAAACCTCAAGAGCACCTAATACAGGATTTGATAAAAGTAGTGTTCACTACTGCCCAAGCCCTAGGAGAAAATGTTCTTACTAACTGTACTTCCTCATTGATTCTTAGAAAGCCGTTCAAGAACAAACACCCATTCTCTCCAACATTCCTTGAGGGTTCCCCTCCTGTCTCAGTCACGCTTTGGACTTGGGACTTAATAGTTAGTTCTAACCATAAACCAAATTAATGTTCCATTTTCACTTTTCCTCCCCTCTCCCTACTTCTACCCCCCGCCCCCGGTCTATTAGTCCCAATAAGAACAGAGGTGGGTACCTCACAGATGATTTAGGATCTGTGGTTGTTGTCAGGGAAGTAGTGGGCAGCATTAAGGAAGGTGTCCGAGGGACAGGGGAAGAAAGAACCAAGAAGCTTGTGACATCTTATAGTAGCCATCTTCTATTCCCTTAAAACCTTATGTCCTAGTTAGCACTGTTAACTTGACACACAGCCTTTGAAATCTTTGAAAAAAATTCACAATTAGTAATTGCCTTTATGAGGTTGGTCTGTGGATGTCTGTGAGGGATTGTCTTGGTTGTTAATTGATGTACTAGGGTCCAGCCCACTGTAGGTGATACCATTCCCTAGGCAGGTGGTCCTGGGCCGTATAAAGAAGCTAGTTGAGCACAAGCCTGGGTGAGCCAGAGAGCAAGCCAAGAAGCTACATTCTTTCATGATTCCTGTTCTATTTCCTTGTCTGTGAGTGAGTTCTGACCCTGACTTCCATCACTGGTGGACTGTGACCTAGAAGTACAAGATGAAACAAACCCTTTCAGAAGCAACTAAATTGCTTTTGGTCATGGTGTTTGTCTCAGCAACAGAATGAAACTGAGATACCTTGTTTGGTCATAGAAGCCCAGGCTATTTGAAGCAAGAGGGTGGCTCAGTGGTTAATAGCACTGATTGTCCTTGTAGAAGACCCAGGTTTGAATTCCAGGACCCATGTGGTGGCTAACAACCATCTGTAACTTCAATTCCAGGAGATTCAGCACCCTCTTCTGTCCTCCATGGGCACTGCACAATACAGGTGCACTTACATACATGCAATGCTCATACACATAAAATAAAAATAAATCAAAAAAGAATTTGATAAAGCTGTTAAGCCCAACCCAGAAAACATGTTCACACAAACATTTCAGTGGCTTCAACAACCCTGTTGAACTCAGGAAGCCACAGCTGAGAACCCCTGATCTATTGCTCTCCCCTACTGTGATGTGATAAGAAAACAGATGCACAAAATTAATCGGGTCACTTGTATCTTGAGCAATCATTTTGAAGGATGTGGAAAGTTGCAGCACAAATCCTGGGTCCAACCAGTATACAGAGAGTTTGTTTCCATTAAGTAAGTGTGTCTTCTATGAAAGAAGTAGATAGAATATTTAAGAAGATTTTGCTTTTGGGGTGACAGCACCAGAGTTCCCAGCAGATCTTTATCAGTGAGTTTCAGTAGTTGCAATGCAGATATCTGAGTCGGATCCCTGGGATTCCACTCCATACCAGGAGTACTGGGGTTGCTGAGAGCAGCGGGTCCTGGCTTTGAAGGACCTTGTCCTCCAGTTAGCCGTAAGTAGCTGTGTGCTAAGAGGGTTGTCAAAGAAGGTGGAAGATGTTTTTGGATTTGAAACTTAGTTAATACCCCCACCCTGAAGTCATTAGAGGAAGCAAGGTAACTGATTTGCTGCAATCTAGGGATGACACAAGGCGGCAGAGCACTTTTCTTAGTAGAAAGTGCAAACGGCCCACAGCAAACCTTCACTGTGAGATGATCTTTACCCACACCCCTGCTCTTGTGAGCATTCAACTGTCTTTAGAACTCTGGGGATGCACTGGGTTCAGATGCAGGTAAGGGGAACGATCCAATTAACTGAGCCCCAGGTTAGGGGATTTTATTGGGAGATTTTTCTTTCCAAGAAATTCTTGGAATGGGGACAGATTCTGGAGCGGTCTTAAATTGGAGAGGTCTTAAGTTTAGGGGGTTTCCATTGTGTCAGGATGGCGGGGGGTTACTTTGGAGTTCTCAAGAGACCCAGGTTACGGGCAGGATGTGAAGCAGGAGGGTCTCCAAATAGCTTGGGGGTTGGCCTAACTCCACTCTGGGGGAGGAGAGGGGGACCCAGGCCTGCATCCCGGGACCGGGAGGGTGGGGGCCTGCATCCCTGGACCAGGAAGGGTCGGTCAGTGGGGGGAGGGGGGGACCCTTCCCTTCCGCCCACAGTTTCAAACGCTGGTCGCCTCCTCCCGGAAGGCGGGTCGGAGAGGAGAGAGGCCTGGAGGGGCGGGACGCGGCAGCGCGGGCCTTGGCAGAGCGGGCGGCGGCCGCCGGGCTCCGGGGAGCGGGGTCCGAGACGTAGGGTGCCAGGCGACTCTCCCCCCGGCGGTCGCAGCGTGCGGCCGGGCGGCGCGCACGGAGGCGGAGCCGGAGGGGGCATGCCGGGCTGGAGCCGAGCCTCGGGGCGCGCCCCGGCCGCCGTCCCCACCTCCGCCTCCTCCTTCTCCTCCTCCGTCTCCTCCTCCTCCTCCTCTTCCAGTCCCGCCGCCACCGCAGCCAACATGGCTGCGCTCCGGAGTCCGGGAGGCGGCCGCTGAGCGCCGCCCCGCCGGCCCGGGCTCAAGCTCTGGTCCCGGCCAATGGGCCCCGCCGCCTCGCGGCTCCCGGCGCGCTAGGCTGCAGCCCAGCTCTGCCCGCCGGCCTGGGGGAGCCCGGGCGCAGTCCGGCGGGGCGGGGCGGCCCGCCAGCATGGAGCCGCAGCGCCGGGAGCTGCTCGCCCAGTGTCAGCAGAGCCTGGCCCAGGCCATGACCGAGGTGGAGGCGGTGCTCGGGCTGCTCGAGGCCGCGGGCGCGCTCAGCCCCGGCGAGCGGCGGCAGCTGGACGAGGAGGCGGGAGGCGCCAAGGCGGAGCTGCTGCTGAAGCTGCTCTTGGCCAAGGAGCAGGACCACTTCCAGGACCTGCGCGCCGCGCTGGAGAAGACGCAGCCTCACCTGCTGCCCATTCTCTACCTGAACGGCGTCGGACCGCCGCAGCCCGCCGAGGGTGCGGGTGAGTGCAGACCCCTGCGCTGCTTCTCCGGCCGCTCGGCACCCTTCTTCTCTGCAGCTCACCGAGGTGGGGGGCGGGGATCCCGTGGGGGCCATTGCTCTACCTGGAGATGGCCGCGGGTGGCCCTTCCCTCCTTAGCCCATCCAGGGAGGGGGCGGTGCCTGGACCCCGAATCCGCACCGCCTGCCTCGCCGGTTGCTGGGAACAATGACCACCCACCGAAAGCCTTGCCTACCCTCTCCGGGTCCCCACAGCCGCAGGGTCCCCCGGAGGCCACCAGGTCCGGTTGCGGGGTGGAGGTTGAGGGACACCTCCGAGGGATGTCGATCAGCCCCCTTCCTAAGGCTCTTCACTGCCCTGTCTGCTCTTCGTTAGGTAGCCAGTGCTAGCTTTCAACCAGCCGGTGCAAGCAGCAAGAGGGGGACCTAGGCCAGGAGCAGAACCTCTTATGTTTTGGTCCCTGCCGCTGCGTATCTAGACCACTCCTGTCTTTTCGCTTTGTGACTGTGTCAGTTCCCTTCTCTCTGCCCGTAGAGCTCAGTCTCTTGGCTGGACCAGACTTGCTGTGGATTATGCACAATGCCTTCTCTAGGTTTCTTTGGAAATTGTGGGCCCGGAAAAGTTGAGGAAGTTGCATTGCACCATGGGAAAATCCTAGTAGTGGTTGCTGGGGCTCAGTTCCCTCTCAGGGCACTGAGATCTTGGTGGAGGAACGCTGGTGGCTGCTTCCTTTCAGTGGTGCCCTTTGGAACCCGTGTGTTCTTGCTCTTGGAAGTGACTGCTTTGTAAGTGTGTGGAGGGGGAGGCGTACCGCTGGGAGTTGGTGACTGGTGCTGGTGGTAGGCTTGCCCTGGAGGAGCCTGGGAGTGTGGAAGCCAACCTCTTAGATGAGAAAGAGGCACAGGACTGAGGAAGGAGGATGTCTAGCATTTATTGTGCCTCTTGTGGCCGGAACTCTATCTTATCATCTTTAATCGCTGTTAACAGCGTGTGAATTATCTATTATTCCTGCTTTGCCAGAGAGAAAACTGTGGGTTGCAGTGGTTAAAAAGCTCAGAAAGGACTGAGTGCCAGGAGTTTTGAATTATTGTCTATTGTTTTATTGAATACATTCAGATCCAGGAAACAGCAAGTGTGTCTTGTCCAGGTCTTGCCCTTGTTCTAAATCAATACACACCATAAAAACAATAAAGACACGTGGGTAAAAGGAAGGTGAACCCAGAGAACTGAAAACCCGCCCTTAGCAACTTGTGGGCCAGAGGCTGAGGAGACCCGTTTATGTGGCTGTTAAAAGCCTCACTTATTAAGGGAGTGATTTTATAAGGTGTTCTGGTAGCTGCTGTCATCTTACAACCTCACTTTCTCTAGCTGGAGGAAACTGACATACAGAGAGGCTAAACTGCCGTAACAGATCATTTCATGGGTGGCCCTGTTATCTCCTTGTGGGCTTCTGGCTTTTGCACTCTGTCCCTCAAACCTGCATTCCATCCCCACAAATGTGGTTTATTGGATTTTCTAGGCAAAGCCCGAAGTTTCCTTGGATTAGCTCTTTGAAGTTGCTCAGAAGGGCTGTCAGATGCAGCTCTGAGGATAAGGATGGATGAAGTTTCATCAGTCATTTTTCCTTTATAATTGCATCTATCTATTTATTTTTGGAGAAGTTTATGAAAGATCTGTTTTCAGAAGTCTTTCTGAGGAAGCATAGACATTAGAGGGGAGCCTAGATGTCCTTATGGAGCTATGTGTGCATCAGCCCTGGCTTTAATCTCTGTACTAGATAAGCTAGTAGATGAGTTGCCATTAATTAAGTTCCCCTCTTTCTGTGCCTGGTGGGTGGGGAAGGTCTGGCCTCTGGGCTGACCTTTATGGAATTTCTGACCTGGGGAGGGGGGGGACAGCATATGGTTCAGGTTCATCCCCAGGACTCTTAATTTTAGATCCATTTTCCCACATTTCAGAGCTTTGAAGAAGGTCATGAAATCATTAAAAAAATATTTTAAGGAAGTTATTTTATTTAATATGTTAAATGAAATTAAGGTAACATTTGATATAGAAAGACGATCTGGAGCCTTTATATATATATATATA